GCCTCTCATACAATAGCCCCAGGCTCCCGAGAGTTGCAGGGAACAAAGCAGAAGCTGCCTTGCTTCCTGTGACCCAGCCCCAAAGTTCCATAGTGTTCCCCCTGCCCTACTCTATCAGCCAAAGTGATCCCAAGCCCACAGACTCTAAGGAGAGGCACACACTGCACCTCTCAATGGGAGGAGTGCCAAGGGCCTGTGGCCATTGTTTAAAACTGCCACTTCTCCTTATCCTCGATCTGAACCTATGACGCGAGCTTGCAGCTGTCTGTGCTTCACCCGCCAGGACACTCCTCACAGTTACTGCTATTTCTCACACCTCTGCCTGGCGTCTCCTGCAGCCTGTGGGCAGCGAAAACCTCACTTAGACCCTGTCACTCCTGGGCCCCAAATTCTCCACAAGCTCCCTCTTGATTCACAGCAAAAGCCTAAACCCTGATGACAGCCAAAGCAGCCCACACAATTTGGCCCCTGCTTATCTCTCTGACCGCGCGGGTTCCCACGCCCCAACTGGCTCCCAGGACCCAGCCACCCCAGCCTCTGCACACTTCCTTCTGCCTTGAAACTCTCTTCCTGTCTCTCACTTCCTTCAGGTGTCTGCTCAGAGGTCACCTTCTCAGAGAAGTCTCTGCTGCGTAAAATAGCAGCCCCCCTCCTATGCACACCTGGCATCACCTGGTTCTCCTTCCTCTGCTTCATTTATAAAGTAGACACCTGAATGCGCATGCCTCTTGCAATCCAAGTGGTGGATTCTCTTTCCTTACCCACCTTGAATCTGACTCGCCGTATGACTTACTTTGGCCAATAGCACCTGGCTTGATTTAGCCAACAGAAGTGCTTTGTGCCGCTGAAGCGTCTTCAGCCTCAAGAGCATCGCAGTTCCCATCCCCTCTTGTGGACCCCGCCACTGTTGTGGGACCAAGTCCAGGCTTGCCAGCTGCATAATGAGTGACCCCTAGTCCAGTTATACCCCTTGCCCTGGCCAACCCCCAGCTGACCACCAGACACATGAGTAAGGCCATCTTCACACAAGCAAGCCGCGTCAAGAATAACTGAGTCAGATGCAGGTGACCAAACCACCCAGATGCTCTGTAGTCTTAATGTTTTAAGTTATCCGGTTTGGGGACAGTTTGTTATGCAGCATTATTTGTAGTAATGGGTAACAGATACATGCACTTAGTCCAGTGCCTACATGGAATATGCAGGCACTGGACTATGCTCAATAAATATTTGCAACACAAATGAATCGATGAATGAAAAAGAGGAAAATGTTTGTCCTGTTGGTCATGATCACTCCAACACCGAGTTCAGTGCTTGGCATGTATTGTGGGATGGATGAGGAGAGAGTGATGGGTCCTATTATCCAGCCAAAGCAACCAAACAAAAAACCCTCTGGCTTTCAAGGGCATAGGAGAAAAAAAATCTCCTGGGACCCACGGAAGAAGGGAAGGTAGTAGTCTTTAGTCTCTAAGGGAGCAATGCTTGAGTCTGTCCTGACCAGGATCTTTGGGCTGGCTGTGGCCTGGGCAGTAGTCTATATGAGAATCCAAAGAAATACTGGTGGAGAAGGGTCTGTGCAAGAGCAGGAGAGAGGACCCAGCCTGGCCATGAGGCTCTGGTCCTCTCCCTCAGGTCAGCTTGACCCAGCTTCCAGAACCCTCTACCACCTGCCCCACCCACCGATCCAGACATCTATGAGCCCCAGAGCTGCCTCTCTCAAAATGCAGTTACCATCTGGCTCTAAGTTGTCTGGACAGCTAGTGAAAATGCAGAACCCTGAGCCTAACTCCAGAATTGCTATACCGAAAACTCCAGGGGCAGCTGTGGTCAAGAGCCTGGATTTCAAGAAGTTCCACACTGCCCTGTGGGGCCTGTGGACGCAGGTTGGAACATAGGGATTCTGGAACAGACTAGGAAATAGAGGCTGGAAATGTATAGCTCTCTTATCAATCCTCACCACCACAGGGGATATAGTTTCTCATACCCATTTCATGGAGGAGAACACTGAGGCTCAGAGAGGTAGTAAGTGTTCCAGGCTGCCTGACTTCCTATCAGAGACTTTTCGTTTCCATCCCAGCAGCATCCACTCAACAAAACACTTTGGCTTTTGTCTTCCTACTCTTTCAAGGTCATTTCAGGCTACTAGCTCCTTGCTGAGATGGTAATGCTTAAGGAGAAGGAAGGCACCCAATGAAGGCTGGGTAAGTGAACAGAAGATTCAGTATGGCGGGGAGGTTTTCACACGGTCTTTAAGCAACTGGAGTCAATTAAATGTCTCTTCTGTGGCCAAGCTGAATGTTGTTTTCCAGCTTAGAGTTTTGTTTGTATGTGTGTGTTTTATATAAATTTGGTAATTAAGCCACAAATGTTCCCAGCACACTTGGATATATTTAAATTACAGGCTGCTCATCAAACGGAGAAAATTCACAAACATGGACATAAACGGTGCCTTTTGTTGGTTCCCTGTGTTCTCGCAGCACTCAAAGGGTTCTGTCAGCTTGATGGCCAATTCCAAGACTGCCTGGGACAAAGGGAGGTGGGGGGCGGGGTGGGGATTGGCAATGACACACAGGAAGTGAAGTCCCACCATGAAAGACTGTGGTTCTTTTTTTTTACGAAAACATTTCATTGGTGCCTATAATTCATCTCAACAAGCCAGTTTTGAAAACACAAGCTGGCAAAAGGGATGTTTGTCTCTGCCTGGCTGGCAGTGATCCCTACTCACTGGGACAGGCCAGAACCCCATTCTTGATCACTGTGGAAGAGAACCAGAGGGTCTTGTGTTCACATCTCTTTTGACCCTTTGCTGTGGGGCATGTTTGGGCTCCTAGAGGTCCAGTGTCCACCCTCCCGTAGTCTCTGCCCACCCACCGTGTAACAAAAAATAAAACTGGAAGTAATAAGGGCCGACTTACTTGCGAGCATGATTGCAAGGCGGGAGGGGTCTACTGTCCTAAAGAGAAAGCCGTAACCATAAGGTCTGCAAGCGTCTTCAGGGTTAGGCAAAAAGATTTTTTTTTTTTATTCTTTAGGCTGCAGAAAAGAACTAGGAAGTGGGATGACAAGGTGGCATAATGAGATTGTAGGTCAGAGAACATTCTGCCCTGTTCTCAGGAGGGGCTGTCTGCTCCCTTAGGTCTAGGGTGGGCCAAAATTCAGGGGGTGGAGGCAGGAGAGAATTTAACCAAATTTGGTTAAGAAGCATTTTGCTCGGATTGGTTACTGGGGACAAGCAGTTCAACTAATCACTTAAAAGGCAAAAAATGGGAATTTGGAGGGTCTGTGTCTGGCCTTGCCATAGGTAAACAGGGTGGGGCATCCATGAGTCTTCCCTAAGTCCCATGGAAAAGGGAGTTCTTTGCAGCAAGCCGTTTTCAGGAACACAAAACGGTGAGGGGAATTCCTTCAAGCTTCACTGTTTTCTAGGAACACAGGGCTCAGGCAAAATTCAACATTGTCACCACTCAACTGGTGATAATAGTTAATCTATGAGTTTAGTATTTTTCTTAAAGATTTTTAAAATTAATTCATTTGAGAAAGAGAGAGCATGAGAGCAGGAGGAGGGACAGAGGCAGAGGGAGAGAGAGAATCTCAAGTCAGTGCAGAGTCTGATGCGGGGCTTGATCTCACCACCCTGAGATCATGACCTGAGCCGAAATCAAGAGTCGGAAGAGTCAGACGCTCAACCGACTGAGCTACCCAGGCGCCCCATGAGTTTAGTATTTTAAAGTGCTTTGAAAGTACAAGGTTTGTAGTAAATGCTCAGTAAGTATTTGTCAATCTCCCTTACCTGTGAGGTCCTCCAGGACGGGGGCTGAGCTCACTTGGCGTTTTCTTTGACGTTAGCACACTACCTAGAAACCACTGATCTGCTGATTGGGCCTTGAGCAAGCCCCAGTCTCCTCATCTATAAGACATAGTAATCTCCACCTAATAGGGTTCTTAAGATAATTACATAGTACAGAGGAGTTTCAGGGCCCCAGAAAATGCCTGACACGCCCCTGGTGAGCAGTGACAAAGACCCTCTCCTTGAACTAACTTTAGCAGGCTCTTCTGAATCCCTTTTTTCTGACGAGGCCTTGACCTTGGGCACTGTCCTTGGCTTGTTGAGTCCAGTTTTAGCAAGAATCCTTTGGGTCAGTTCAGCAAAAATCCCCCACCTCTGATATCTGATCAAATTCATTATTCTCTACCCTTGATATCTTATCACTCTGGCCTGTGTAGTCGGTTTAACAGAATTCCCCTTACCCCTTGTGCGTCTTCTTAGTAATTTCCCATCCACTGACCTAGACCCTGCTCCTTGGCTATAAATCTGCACTTGTCTTTGTTATATTTGGAGTTGTGCCCCACGTCTCCCTATCACGAGCCCCCGTTGCAGAGGTATGTAGTCAGTCTGCCTTACCACTTTTGACAGGTGTCATGAATTTTTTTTTTTTTTTTTGGATAACCATAAAATGAATTCCCTTCCCTTTCCTCCTTGGACTCCTGACCCAGTGTGAGCAGAACTTTCTACTGAGTCTGTTAAACGCTTCAAAAGGCCTGAGTCCCTGGAGGCCACAGGTAGCATGCTCAAAACCAAAACCCTCAGGGATGCCCACACCACTCGGGGTCAGGGCAGCGCCGGCAGGAATGATTCCGGCCTCCCCACTGAAACCCAGGACCTTCTCACACCCACGGGCCGTGGATGCAGCCCTTGGGGGTTCAAATTTAGGATCTGTGACTTTCCCAAAGCACAAGGATTTGGCCACTTGATTTCGCTGGGCATTAGTTGACCGCTCTGTAAACCAGGAAAACGAATCATGTTCACTGTACGGTTCAGATGAAACAGTGGATGCGCAGCTGACTAGCCCACGAAGTTATCAGAGCTGAGGAGTCGCAGGTGTGCCCGACTTGGGAAGAGAAACCGAGCAAGGGGCCCCCACCCAGGCTTGCCGCCGCCACCCGCAGGCCTTCGGAAACAGGACTGGGCGGGGCCGCGGCATCGATCACTCGGCGCTCGACTAGGCACTCCGCGCTGATCAGACGAGCACTGAGCGATCGATACCGCGGCAAAGCCTGACTACTCGGAGAAGGAGAGGGCCGGAGTGTTCCGACCAAACGGAACAGCTTGTCGCCAGCCTCCGGGGACTCGACACAGCCCAAACTCGAGACAGGTGAGCTTGAGCAACTCCAGAGGGCGGGCGGCTCTGGCTCTGTTGAAGCGAAGGGGAGGACTGCGCAGGCGCTGTGTTAAAGGCGAAGCGGGAGGAAAAGACGGCCTCGCGCGTGCGCCTGGGAGAGCCCCGGGGCAGCTCTCCAAAGTAGCGAAAGTGGGGTGTGAATGGGGAGGGAAAACAGTGCTGGCGCATGCGCCCTGAGAAGGCCGTTTAGCGGCTCTCCAGCTTTCCTGCGCTGCAGGGGGGAGGGGGGAGGCCCCCGCGCGTTCTTGATGCTCGCTTTACGCTTGTAATTTCGTTTTGCGCATGCGTAAAGCCAGCTCAGCCTGTGTGGGCCTGCGCAGTTCTTGGGGGGGGGGGGGGTGACCCCGTCGGTGCAAATGTAGGGCGCCTGCGCGAGTTTTTATTTCCTCCGTGACGGTACCGGCAGGTGCCTTCATGCTGTTGCTCTCGGACCGAACATCTCTGTCACCGGCCTGGAGGGGGGCAGGCTACAAACCGAATGTGGGCCGCGAGCAGGGAAGCCCCGGGAAGGGAGGGGGTGTGAGGCCTCGGGTGGAGCGTTGGTGTGGGGGACCTGAAGGACAGGGATTTCTAGTTTGATAGGAGTTAACGCTGAGCATCGGTGTCGCGTTATGCACCTCGCGTTAGAATCCAGCAGAGGTAAGTCGCCGTGCTCAGCAGGCCCAAGGTCAGGGGGTAGGCAGGTGTTGGGGCCACACCGACGGCCCGAACCCGAGACAGCGTGGCCCTTAGAATGGCAGACGTACTCTTGCGCCAGTGAATAAAGCTTTCCAAATATTTCCAAACCTCTCTGGAAAGTTTTACGAAGCTCCCTAGAAAGCTCTTGTTTTTTGCACAACTTTCGTGGACTAATGCCACAATAAAATTGGAGAGATTTCGGGGCGCCTGGGTGGCTCAGTCGTTAAGCGTCTGCCTTCGGCTCAGGTCATGATCCCAGGGTCCTGGGATGGAGTCCCGCATGGGGCTTCCAGCTCCGCCCTGCTGCTCCCTCTCCCACTCCCCCTGCTTGTGTTCCCTCTCTCGCAGTGTCTCTGTCAAATAAATAAAATCTTTTTTAAAAATGGGAGAGATTTCAAAAGTAACTCGGTAGCCTGTTCCCAGAAAGCCTGATAGAGGCTTCTATTCCGGAAGGCACCGGTGGGAGGCTTCTCATGACCAGCATGCCGCCCTCGGGGCTGTTGTTTCGGGTCAGCCTGAGACCTTTGTGGGGCTCCTGGCGGGGGCCGCTTTCAGAAGGCCCACCTGATACCCTCTGTGAATCCCGGTGAGATTGTCCAAGAAGCCATTTCTCCCAACCAATTTAAAGACTACTCTGGGAGCTGCTTTAGGTTTTTAAAGATAATTAAAGAGAATTCTGGGATGACAATGGTGGCTTCCTTGGGAGGCTTTCTTTTGTAACTAACAGAAGCCACTTGGGCTGTTCACTAACGAAAGACCAGCTTACTTAAATAATGTGCTCTATCTGGATGGTGAATTTAGGAAGTCGGGACCAGGGTCCATGCTGGCTGTCGTATGTAGCCTATACTTGGCTCCTCTGTTTAATACAACCAACAAGAAGCCTTTCATGAAGTTCGCATTAGGTTGATTTACAAAGCCCAAACAAAAGGCACTCGGAGAGGTTAGTTCTTACAACCTTTATGTGACCCCCATGCCAAGAATATCCTTTCGTGCATCAACAAAAAGGCCTTTTATAAGAGAAGCCATTCTTGCAATCTTGCAAAATGAGATTGCAAGATGAGAAGCTATTTTATGCAATCTGTACCTTACCTTCCCCTGAAAGCTGTCTCATGTCACGAAACCAGTACATGGGGCGCTCTGAAAGGTCAGTTTACAAAGTCAGGACTCAAGAGCACCCCGCTCTTTCTGTACCTGACACCTGAACCCTCACTTCCTTCAAAAAAAGCCTTCTATGACCAGCAACAAGTCTCTAGGCTGATACCTGTGGAGTTCTAGGAGACTGACTTTAATGTGATGATATAGGGCCCCTCAGGCTTTTTCATGATTAGGGTGACCATAGGTCTCAGTTGGCTTGGAATAACCCTAATTTCTCACTTGTCCAGTCCTAAATATTAGATACATTAAACACTGAAATTTATATATATACAAAAGAAAGTTACTAAGAGCACTCCCAGTACTCAGCTTGTGTAAAATGAAATTCCTACTTGCAGAAATGAAAGTTCCAGGCAATGAAAAACAACATTGGAGAAAATGATGAGAATAAAAAATTTTACAAGAGAAAAATTTTATACCAAGCCAAAAAAGGGGGGAGTGGGTCCTATATATAGATAGCATCCTGGTTTGTCAGAAATACCCTATAGTTCACTTTCCTACACCTGACCACCAGAAGGCTGTTTAGATCACCTCTGCTTATGCCCTTTCCTCGTATGTGGAACTCTGGGAGGCCAATTTGAAGACCAGTCTACACCACCACTCTGAAAGACTTTCACACAGTTTATTTTTGACTCCCTCTTCTGGAAAGCTGTTTAGCATAACCTTTTATAAAAGGCAATTCAGTGAGCAGCTCTAGGAAGCCAGTCAATAAAGCCAGGCCACAAGGCTACTCTGGCTGATGCCTTCGTCTGGGAAACTGTTTAATATAATTATCAAGAAGCCTTTTTCGTCAGACCAGTACATGGGCGATGCTAGAAGGCTGATTTGTAAAGCCAGGAGTTGAGACCACTTAGAGAGGGGTTTCATGGAGCCTATAGCTCACATTCAGTGGAGGGCCAGGTCGCAGGGCTGGGTGTGCAGGCCACTGCTTACAGCCCACGTGAGGCTACCTGCTCTGGAAGATCGTTTCATACAGTCAGCAAGAAGGTGTTTGACCCAGCCAGCGAAGGCCCTTTCTCCCCTGAGGCCACGTTCCGTGGTAACAGGAGCTAACGGGAGGGTTGGTTGGTAGAACCTATCCTGGTTCCTGGTGTTCTGAAGACACCATGGGAGATAGATTGGTTTGTAAAATAAGACAGAGCCTGGGTTTCATCTGGCCCCCAGACAAGGGCCCAGTGTGTAGGCAAGCCTATTTTTGGAACCTTTCGTTAGTCCTTTAGAAGACTGTTTCACGTAGTAGGATGTGGCTCCTCCCCCAAAGGCTGGCTGATACGGCAACCGTTTAAAAGGCAAAGGTTCTGAGAAGCCCTAAGATTAAGATTACTCAGATAATGACCAGCCTGCCACCTCCCCATGCATAGTTGCTTCATGCTGCCAACATAAGGTCTTCTGGGAGGCCAGTGGTTTGGGGTTTGTTTTTGTTTTTTTAAGATTTTTAAGTAATCTCTACATGCAACGTGGGGCTCAGACTCACAACCCCGAGCTCAAGAGTGCCACACTCCACTGACTGAGCCAGCCAGGCGCCAGGGAGGCTACTGTTTTAAGATCAGTCGTGAAGCCCTTCGGGAGGCCATTCAAGAGGCTAATACGAGTCAATCTGAAAAATCATTTTGAAAACAAACTCAGCTATCCTGAAATGTCCTCCTCTGGAAGACTTTGTCATATAGTGTTAACATAAGTATCTCTGAAGACCTTTTTGTAAGGCCATTCACTGAGAAACTCTAGACTAGAAATTAGTTACTAAAGCTACTTTAGGTGGCTAAGAAGAGACTGTTTTGTGCAGGCCCTCTCCCAGAAGGCTATTTCACATGGCCATCTATAGGGGCCCTCTCCAAAGCCGGCTTGCAAAGCCACACATAGGCTGCCTGAGGAGGCTGGTTTATGGAGACCAAACACAAGACCGCCTTGGGAAGCCAGTTTGTGAAGCAGCCCGCGAGGCCACCTGTAGAGGTTTGCTTTGGAAGGGCCTTCGTGAGCTCTATGAAGGGCTGTTTGGTGAGGTCAGTTTGCAAAATCTGTAATCTGCATCCCAGGGAACCAGTTGATGGCCCCTTTAAAATCGTCTGGGAAGCCATTTTTTAAGGCCACTAAGAGACCAGTTTACGAAGCTGGTACATAAGGCTCCAGTGGAAGCCATTTTTATAGTAAGGCAAAGAGGTGGTCTGCGGGGAGGCTTTTTTATAGACCTTTGTGAGAAGCCAGGATATGAAGCCTCTGAGGTCTTTTGGATACCCGAGACTTCTCGAGGTTGCTTCCTAAGACACATGAGTCACTCTGAGGGGGACGGGCCATGGAGCCACCGAGGGAGGCCAGCTGATGGGTTCACATGCATTTTTGTGGGTGGGTAGTAGATATGGCCATGCTGGAAGGTTGGACTGTGAAGCCCTCCCAGGAAGGCTGTTCATTAGGCCAACACAAGACATTTACAAATTTTCTAGGAGGCTAGAGCTAGAAATCATCCTGGCAGGCGAGGGTCAGGCCCCTCGAGGCTCTCAGTCCCATCATTCACTGGAGGGCCAGCTGGGAGGGATACCCCTTGTGCACCAAGGACCAAGCTAGGAGACAAAGGTCCAAAAACGGATTCAGTCCTCACCCCCGAAGCTGAAGAGTGTTCTGCGTAGACACTACCACGTACTGTGTAGTTTTGGACAAGTTGCTTAATCTCCCAAATCTTTGTTCATATCTGTAAAACCACACATCATGGGATTAGGAGGAATATATTAGGTAATCTACATAAAACATGGAACATTGGCCCAGCACATAGGAAAGTCACTTCATTTTTCCCTGGACTTTGGTTTCTTCATCAGCCAAAGAGGATGGGGTTGTGGGGAGAATGATCATATACTTCCCTCTCCACTTAATGGCCCCGAGAGGTACAAATCAAAGGAGAGGGAGAGGAAAGGTGAGGGAACTGTGGAAAGACGGCAGGACTGAGAACAACTCTATGTTATTGCTGTAACTTGGGGACACACCCAGGAAGAGGTACTTCAAACATAATGACGCACAAGAAAGATGGGTCCTTTCCTTCCGTGAAGTGATGGGATTTTCTCATCTGTTAAGTGGAAATAATAACTCCTCCTTTACAGATTTTTCTTGAGTTAAGCAACCCAGACTCCCAGCTTCATCATGGGCTGGCTGGAGAT